GGCTCCCTTCAGGAGCAGGACTCTGCTGTCACCTACCGCCCAACCCTCTGCAGACACACAAGGACAGGGAACGTCCTTCCCCTCTTCCCCCTTCTCAACCTCCTTGCCAGCCTGATGGCCCTGAGGCCCAGCCTGTCAAGGGTATGACCGAGCAGTGATTAAGGGCATAACCTGTGGTCACAGACAAACACAGGTGTGAATCTCAGCTCTGCCTTTTTCTCGCTATGTGTCCCTGGACAAGTCACTTCACTTCTCTGATGTTCAGTTTCCTCATATGTAAAATGTGGATAACAGTACTTACTTCAAAGCAATTAGAAGAAATAATGCCTGAAATTTGAGTCAGCAAATATTTAGAGTATTATCACTTTTGCACTGTTCCCAGGGCCAAGATACAGCAGTGACCTAAACAGACAAGTCTAGTGGTTCTCAAAGTGTGGTCTCCAGACCACAGGCATCAGCACCCCCTAGGAACTTGTTAGAAAGGCAAGTCCTCAGACCTCCATGACGTATCTCCTGAGCCTGAGTCTGATGCATCCTCGTTGAGAACCACTGGGCTCAGAGACAGACAGATGTATCAGGCGGGGTAAGTGCTATGAATATCGCGGCTTAAATAGCTTGAGAATGACGGCCAGAAGTAGTGGTGGGGACACTAAGTGATGTGTGATGGTCAGGGAAGGGCTGTCTCATAAGGTGACAAGTTTCAGCAAAGACCTAAAATCATTTATTATCTAGAGGAAAGAGAAAAAGTGCATGCCTTTTCCACTTCAAGACAACTCATGTATTTATAAGATAAATAAGTTCTGGGGATGTTATATACAGCATGGTGACTACAGTTAATTAAAAAATAATTTTTAAAAAGACATTTCCTATAAATTACATACACAACTTTTGTTTAACTCATTGGCCACAACTTGGTCCTATGGGCCACACCTAGCTGCCTGGGGAGGCTGGGAACTAGAGTTTTATTCTGATTAACCATACATACAGCTAAAAATTGAGATACCTATTTATAATAGATGAAGAAATAACATGTTGGGGAACAACTGTCTCTGCCACACTAAGAGATTCTGATGTAACTAGCCTTTGGGGGTCTGGTTGATACTTGCATGCCTCCAAAGATGGGGAGATCACTATCTAATGAAGCAGTTTTATTCCCTCTTTGAGCAGCTCTCTTAGAAAATTTTTAAAAAATTTATCTTCATTGTTGGAAGTATTATAGATGTCCCTTTTTTCCCCCCATTGACCCCCTTCTCCCCACTCCCACCCCCTCCCCAGCCGTTCCCCACACTATTGTCTGTGTCCTTGGGTCATGCATATGTGCACATGAGTTCTTTGGTTAATCTCTTCCTGCCCCCCTTCCCTCTGAGAATCATCAGTCTGTTGTATGCTTCCATCTCTCTTGATCTATTTTGTTTGCCAGTTTCTTTTGTTCGTTAGATTCCATATATAAGTGAGAAAACTTCTTTATTTGCTCAGGTCTACCTCTCTAAAACTCCTACCCACTGGGACTACTGTACCATTTAGGACTATGCACAAGACAGAACTTATACTTATTTCAAGTCCCTTATACATCTTCTTTTTGGACCACCTAAGGTTATTAATGCTCCTTGGAAGCCACACCTTGGAAAAGGTTTTCTTGATCCTGCATTAAAAGAAATTGAGAATGGCCTTGACAGGACCCTCCTGGACAACAGAAAGCCACATCACCCAGGTCAATGCAAGCAAACAAGCAGAAACAGCTGGCAAGGCCTCAGTTGTAGATGGTTTTCTCCAGAGCAGATTTGCTTGTTTCTGCCAAGAGCCCAGGGACACTCCTACCTGGGACATTAGCCCAGAAATCTGAGGATTTTGTTTACTGTGAAGGTCAAGTTCAGTTCCCTCACCTTGGGGCTGGGGACAGAGCTTACTTAAGTTTAACCTCCTGGCACTGATTCTGCCCTACTGGCTCCACCAGCTTTCTTTGCCCGCTGCCCTCTGCTCCCTAATCCATTTCGTCTTGGGGTCTTTTTCCTTCTTATTTCTTTAATGCCCTTGGGGGATTTCCTTTACTTCTTTGGAGCCCAAGGACATGTCTGTTTTCACTTATCCAGGATCTAGAAAGGAACGTCAAACAATCTAGTTGAATTAACTACAGAAGATGGAAACCTATTCATCCATTTTTGCAATAATTCATCCATCAAACCCCAACTTTTGCAGAGATTAGGCTGGGTGCTGGGGTGGCAGACAATGAACAAGACATACTCCCTGTCTTCTCAGAGCTCACAGATTGGGAACATAGGCTGTAAGGATGGGGGTTGACAAGTAGTACCACGCAGGCAGTATGGATGCTGTGGGAATTCAGTGGAGAAGCACCTTCAGGGGCAGCCAGGAAGATGACTTTGAAGTGATGAAAAACTGATTCTAACAGATGAGCAGAAGGCAGTGAAGCCAAGTGGGGAGAGCAGATACTAAGAGCTAAGCTGGGAGAAAGAAGGCTCGGGCAAAAGGCTGAAGACATGAACTAGAAAAGTGAAAGAACTAAGTTTGGCTTGGGCAGAGTGAGAGGGTGAAGAGTAGGACAGGGCTGGATAAAACACTAGCAATTCATGCAGGAGACTGGATTCTAGACTGAAGACAATAGGGTAGGTCAGTGATAAAATAGCTGGGGAGTGATATAATCAAACTAGCTTTAGATCACCCAGCTGCAAGGTCTTCTAGGGATGGGCAGGGGCCAGGGGAGGCAGGGGGCTTGTTAGGAAAGTACTGCAGGAGTTCAGGTCAAAGAAAAGAGGCAGAAGTTGAGGCCATTGCTGGGGACCTGGTTGGGCTGAATTACAGCCAGCAGCATCAGGCTCACCCGCAAGGCTGGGCTGCCATGGTCTGCAGTCTCAGGTGGCCAACAGCTCAGTCCTGCCTTGCCTGCCTCCATGGCCAATAGGCTGCTACATTCCAACTTGAGCTGCAGAAATTAGCTGTCCTTGAAAACAAAACCCCGAAAGGAATCTGGCTGATTGCATCCCTGGTTACCAAGGAACAGCAAGCCAAGCTGCAAAGTCCCATCACAGGAAATAAAAAGAATGCTCCAGCAGCCACCAGCATTTTCCACCAGCATCCAGCCAGCTGTCATTCACGCTGCTTGGCTTAAGAACTGAGCAAGCGTAAGAATAGCAGCTTCTTCAGTGCCAGGCACTGTGCTAAACACTTTAATCTTATGTAATTCCTGTGATACCCTAAGAGGCAGCCATCATCATGGGAATTTTCACAAAATGGCTGAGAGGTTAAGTAACTTGCCTCAGAGTCCAAAGCCGAGGAACTAGGATTTTCATCCAGTCACGTCTATCTCTTGAGGGTCTGTGCACTACCTCCTGCCTTAGAAACCAGGCTGACAGTAGGAAAGCACCATTTTTTTCCTAAATTTATTTTGGAATAACTTTAGATTTACCAAAACGGGAAAATTGGGTTTCTGAATACCACTCATCTAGTTTCCTCTAATGTTAACATCTCACGTTACCATGTACACTTGTCAAAACCAAGAAACTACTAACCGGACTCCATACCTTACTTATATTTTTTTTACATGAATACACTCTTTCTGGTCCAGAATCCATTTGTATTGTTAGCTCTCCGCTCCTCTGGTCTTCTCTATACTTGTTTTTCATGACTTTTGACAACTTTAGTTATTTTGCAGAATGTCCTCTAAGTGGGTTATGGGTTTTCAGAATGAATATTGCAGAGGTGAAGTGTTCTCATCTCACCAAATTGGAGTACAGGGTTATCAGCATGATTGGTCACAAACACAACCAACCATGATTAAGGTCTCTCCAGAGCAGTTGGCATTTTCCCTCTTCCCAGTTCTTTTCCTTGGAAAGGGAGTCACTAAGTGCAGCCCACACTCAGGAGAGAAAAAACTAAGTTCCATTTACTGAAGGGGGGGGGAGTACCTGTATTATTGGAATTTTTTTAGATTCATATCATTTACTAATATCACTTAAAACAGCATGAGTTCATTTTATACTTTGGGTAGTAATCATTTAAGATTTAGAAAATTAAAAAAGGTTGACTTGTTCAATAAAGTTTAGGAGCCATGGCTAGACCTGCATCTCCAGGGCTCTTTCAAGCACAAGAGTCGTGAAGGGACCAGTGTCCATACAATGGAAGGGTATTCAGCAATGAGGGAACGAAGTACTGATTCCAGCTAGGTCATGAGCCTTGAAAACATGTCGCTGCCCTACCTCTTCTGACAACCCGCTGGTTTAACAATCACCATCGCAGGGCCCTATGCTAATCCCGTGCAGAACACTCAGAACCGTCTGGTGCTACCAGGCCCTTGGAGTTGGGTACAAGCTTCCGGAAAGCAAGTTTTATCTTTATCATTGCCTATGAAAATAGGGCTTGGTGTGTATTTGTGGGGTGACTGAATCTTTATGTACTGATGTAGAACAATCTCTGAGAGCTGCCAAGTGAAAAAAAGCAAGATGCAATAGAGTGCGCTACCAATTTTGCACAGAAGGTGTGGGGGGTGAGTCTACACCCACGCGTGTTTATATATGGCTCAGGTCTGGAAGCCTCCTCTTCTGTTCAGGCTACACTTGGCGCAAGTTTCCTCTCTGCTCTGGCTCTTCAAGAATTGGCTCATTTTTGGAACCAAGATCTCCACCTTCAAAACAAGGCCTCAATTCGCTTTAGATGACTAAGGTAAACTTAAAGCCACAAGCAGTATACAAAAGACAACTGCAGGTATCTCCTCACCTCTTCTTAGGCACCTCCTCCCAGGAAGCCAGTTTGCAGAACGCAGGCTCACCCACTGTCCCATGTCAGGGGCTGAATCAACCCCTCTTGTGTTCCTGTCTGAGAGGTTATATACATCTTCTGAAGCAATGGATCTATTTAATGCCTGCTGATTTAGCACTGCACCTGTGATCTCAAGTCAGTCCCACACCCTGGTTGAATGCAGACAGAGAAAGGAATTAACTTCCCTGAATGGTGGCCCTAACATGAAGGAGAGACAACTGGAATCGAAATAGCTGACACAAAGGCAATTTATTAACAGAAAACAGTAATTTGAGGAGTCCTGTTCACAGACGGCGACCACGGCGACCCCCCTTCCTGCGGGTGCTGTCGGAGGGGATGGGAGTGACATCCTCTGTGGGGAGAAGAGAAAACATCATTGTGTAGGACTGGATGGGAAGAAGCCCAGCCCTCCCTAGGTCAGGAGTATAATGCATCAGCAGTGGATTGCACTGCTCCCCAAATGAGTCCTCGGTATATAACAGATGAACACGGAGCTACCCCACCTGCGGCTTCCTCAAAACTTCTGAAGTGATTTGAACTCACTTTCCAGAAAGGGAAGCTGAGGCTGAGAGAGGGTACACAACTTGCACAGAATGGCAGCAGCAGCCAACAAATCCAGGTTCGTGACTTAGCCCAGACTCGCTAATAGAAAAACCCTCCTAAACAGTGTAACTGTAGCCCATCGCCTTGTCAAGAGGTAAAAGACTGAAAAGTATTCTGAAAGAAAATTTCAAAGAGAAGACTGGACTGAGAGATCAGTACACGTTGCCACCAAGTGCACAGAAACTAGAGAGAAGGGCTAACACCTGTGGCTACACAAATGTAGGGGACTTGCTGAGATTCCCAACCATGGAAATCACTGACCTCTGCATTCATTTCTGTCACAAGGACTGGCATGTTCTACTGACAGTTACAGGCGTACCCCGGAGATATTGCAGGTTTAGTTCCAAACCACTCCAATGAAGCAAGTCACACGAATCTTTTTGGTTTCTCAGTGCCCATATGTTTACATTATACTGTAAGTGTGCAACAGCAGTATGTCTTCAAAAAGCAATGTACAGGCCTAGCCAGTTTGGCTCAGTGGTTAGTGTGTTAGCTGTGGACTAAAGGGTCCTGGGCTCAATCCCTGGCCCTGGTCTGGGCACGTACAGGAGACAACCAACTGATGTCTCTCTCTCTCAAGTCAATGTTTCTCTCTCCCTTCTACTCTCTCTGAAAAGCAATGGAAAAAATATCCTCAGGTGAGGATTTTTTTTTTTTTTTAAAAAGCAATGTACACATTTCAATTAGAAAATATATTATTGCTAAAAAATGCTAACCATTAGATAAGACTTAGAAAAATGGCGCCAACGTACTTGCTTGACACAGGGTTGCCAAAACCCTTCATTGAGTAAAAAACACCTACGTGAAGTGCAATAAAACAAAGTATAACAAAAGTTTTGCCTATAATAGGCAAGGACCACACAGGAGGCAGACCACACAAAATGCCAGTAGTAACCCCCTTGAGAACACTGAGAAGACAAGGACAACTCATGTCCTCTTAGTTTCACCAGCCACTGTCAGGCAGAGGTTGAGAGATAGGTCACGTGGTACCCTCTCGAGGTCTGCATCAACAAACCTAACTGCCAACAGCCATGCGACCAAGCCCTATATCCACTGAGCATACCGCACACTTTCTGGGGTCAACGCTTCAAAGCAAATCCCAGCATTAGCTACAAGGAGACACTTACCAATCCGTCCGATCTTCATTCCCGAGCGGGCAAGGGCTCTGAGAGCTGACTGGGCTCCTGGTCCAGGGGTCTTAGTCCTAGAAAATGAAGGTCTAGTCATTCTGAGTTCTAAGATCTCACAACCCTCTAGGTCGGGGATCTGCAAACTTTCCTTAAAGGGCAGGACAATAAATATTTTAGGCTTAGTGGGCCACTTATGGGCCGCTTACAGTTCTGTGACATACTTTTTAAAAAAAGTATTCTCAGTCCACAGACCATACAAAAACAAGTGGCAGGCCAGATTTGGCCCCTGGGTCAGTTTGCACCTCTTTACCTGTAGCCTGTTTAAGGCACTGCCCCTTCCAGCCACATGCTCTAAGTCTGTCTTCTTTGGTGATCTGTCCATTTCCTCCTACTCCACCAACCCAAGACCAAGGCATTACCATCTCTCCACTGGACCAGTTTTCCTATCTGGTCTGTTCCCACAGAAGTCATCTTTAAAAAATCCTAATCCTATTGGTCATTACTATTAAAAATATTCACACACACCCGCCCCCCCCTCTCCAGTCTATAAATCCTTACCAGGTCCCTTAGGATCCAGCAGGACCTCTCTGATCACACCTCTTGACACTCTTTCCCTCAAATGTGCCAAGTTCATTCCTACCTCAGGACCTTTCTCTAGCAGCTGGAATACTCTCCCATCCTTCCTTCACTGGACTCCTGGCACATTTAGATCTTAAATTATACTTTATCATTAGTCCATCCCCGACACCTTATTTTTGCTTCCCAGCACTTGCCACAAACAGAAAACATGCACTCCCCTGCTCTATGTTGTTTAAAATCTGACAACAGCCTACGTGCCACACAGGAGGGTAGATACTATCTTTACTTTTTCCAATCACCCTCTTCTAGTAGATAAAACACAAAAGCTGGTATGCAGTGAGGGCTTAACATACTAAGTTGCTGGGGGGAGGGGCTGCACAGCATGCAGGAACTGATTATTAATTACATACATAAGATGTCTTGTGCAAAGCCACAAAACAAAAACCAAGCCTAAAATCCAGGTGTTCTGGCACCCAAGCCTAGTGACCTTACCACTCAGCCTCAGCCTTACCTATTCCCTCCTGTAGCCCGGAGTTTGATGTGCAGAGCAGTGATGCCCAGCTCCTTGCACCTCTGGGCCACATCCTGGGCAGCCAACATGGCAGCATATGGAGAGGACTCATCTCGGTCAGCCTTTACCTTCATCCCACCAGTCACACGGCAGATGGTTTCCCTGGGGACAAAAAAGCAGTTCCTCATCCAACAAGACTGAGAGAGTGCATTATGTCCTAATGAGTGAAGGGCGCCAAGCTGGGATATGGCAGAGAATGAAGGTCATCTGGAACATGTACCCCGGTATTCAGGAAAACTGCCAAGGGCTCTTTCATGGGAAGCTTAGTGGGGTTCAAAGACCCACAATAGCTAAACTCTGTATTAACACTACATTTACTTACTTTTGCATTTCATTCTCCCAATTACTCTAGGCGATAGGCACTTTTAACCTTGTTTTACATAAACAGAAACCAAACTTAGAATTTGAATGACTTCACCCAAATCACAAAAACTTGCTAATGGCAGCCAAAACCTGTACCCAGGGCTACCCTTCAGTCCACTGTCTCTACAGAGTACCAAGAAATTGAGGATCCCATGATCATCACACTGTAAGGCCATGAACAAAACGTCTCCTCTCTTGTAACTCCAGTGCCTGGGAAATTACTAAGCAACCAAGCCCCTTATCTGAAGGTTCCTTTTAATCCCTTCAAGAAAACCCCTTAAACTGCCACCCAGTTCCAGGGTCATGTCCTCCCCCATCCCCACTCCACCCAGATACTCACTTGCCAGAAAGATCAGTGACATGGACAAAAGTGTCATTGAAGGATGCAAAGATGTGGCAGACACCAAATACATTTTCTCCTTCAGCCACCTGAGGCCCGAGGCTGATGACCTGTTCTTCCTTCTTTTCCTTCCCCTTGCGAGGTGCCATTTCTGAAAGACAAATCAAAGAACCCCAAGGTTAACAGAACCCCCTTTTCCCTGGCTATTAAAAGAAAACCCCAAGTTTCGCTCCTCTGGGAGCACTAGTTCCCGAGGATTAGCTAGCAAACATTTGGACCCGTCAAAAAAAAAAAAATTAAAAATCCATGTTTAGAAAACGTCCCTGGGTTCAAAGAGCTCCTAAGGTTTATTTATACTTTTGGTTTACAAGATTAATATATTGAAAAAGTACTATCGTGTTCTATTGGTCCAATAACTGCGTTGTGGATGTGGCCGCCTTACCGGGGTGGGCTAGGCGGTCACGAATGGAACATGATCAATCACTTTTTGGTGCGACCCAGTGTCCCGGTGGAACACACCCACTGCAGCCCCTCCCTACTGGCCCCGACAAAACTTTCGAGTCCCACCCTCACCTCTGCTTTCAGGGGTAACAGGCGCGTGGCAGATGCTCAGCGAACTCTGACGTGCAGTCCCTAACCCCAGTTTCTGGACACCCAGAACTTGCAACGTGCCCAACTTAGCCATCACCCAGCCTTAAGAAACACCCAACACGAGGCCGTTTCTCCTGCATTCCCTCCCTGAATCCTCACCACAGCCCCGTGGGATCGGCGCGACAGTTTCTCCTACCTTCCAGACGAGGAAACCAACTTAGGGATTAGGCGCCTAGCCTGCTACCGCCCAGGAAGAAGCTGGCGGAGTGGAGGCGGTGGCCCACATCGGACTAGGATCCCCGCTCCTTCCCAACCACGCGGCGCGGCCGCTTAAACGTAGCAGGGGTCCAAATGCGGGGGCGAGGCCTTCAAGGCTAGACCCACGCTCACCCCCACTTCACAGGCTCCTCTCTGAAGCAAGACTGCCGCCTCCGGAGGCGAGGCGAGAACCTGCGTCTGGGGTCGGCCTGCCGCGCTCTTCGCGCCCGGAACCTGGTCCGGCTTCCGTGGAACGACCCCCAGCCCC